TAAAAGAAAAAACGCATTTCTTGTTTCCTACGTTTACGTCTCTTGTAAGGATATTAATTCGCCATTTATAATACGCTGAAAACAGAATCTGCTGAGCTTTTATAAGAAGTCCAATCTGCCTTGATGGGTGTTGTTGTGATTGCTCAAATGTCTACTATTTCTAGGAGATGCGCGCAATTACTTGGCTGATTTTCATGTTATTAGGTTCTGAACCATTGATCGATTAATGATCGTTAAATGAAATGGCACATTCCGCTGTATCCGACTTTATTGGCAACTCTGCGTCAACCCTGATGGAAGCACAGTCCCCTTAAAGCTCGACTTTGTTCACGGTTTCTTAATGATTTGGGAATAGCGTCCTTGTAAATGTGGATTTCTTTCCAAGTGCATAAATCCACAAAGCAAAACGTGTGCTGGAGGAAAACTTCCCTACAACTTTAGGAAGAATTTGACTTCAGGGTACGTATCACACTTCAAAGTTACATCCTCACGGAAAATCTATTAGTTACAGAGAGCCATGAAGGTAAAGAACAAAAGAAACGTTTACGTTTTTTTGTATACCGTTACGAGTTGATAGTGACTTTATTTAAAAACCGGACGTTTCGACACAACGCCCTCGGCTTGAAAGTGATTCATTCACCTTCTAACACGCGTTCCATCCGAACACCTCCTCCATCCTGTACGTTAGCATCCATTATGACCGAAGCTGCTTCCAGAATCGGCATCGACTCATAACTTATTACGAACTAGTTGTCCCTTGATGTTATTTCAAGGATTGTTTATAAAGACAACATCGTTTTCCGATTGTGCTTGTACTAAGCATTGTTTGAATGCGGCGATCAGTTTGTCGGAGATAAACGGCAAACATTATGATTCAATGAAATCAACAATGGAACTTTAGTTCCAGAATGTCCTCTTGCGTTCATAGATGTTCTTGTGGAAGATTCGGGTTGGAGCGAATAATCGTTATTGGTTATTGTTTGGGATACCATTATTGCAGACCCTTGTCTCTCAACTCCCTACACTGACTACTGTTTTAAACATGTTGCAAATTGCACGTTTCATAGCAATAGGATGAGCAGATCTTGCATGTGAAATGATACTCTTACAGCTCGATACCATTTTACGTATACCGTTCCACTGACTAACATCAGTTGTGTATTGAGGTAGGGCAGCCAAACGTCGCTTGGCTTTTCCCTTGTAAGACTAATATATTGCGATTGTTTATTGAGTATTCTGTAAAATTCAACC